ATGTTTAGACAATACAACTGCATATTYATGTTGAGCATAGACTGTTTTTTTACAACTCAATAATCGCATTTAAATATTGAAGATCATAATATTGTTATAAACTTCATGTTTAACAATGTTTTTAAACAGAAAACCAGTATACATCATTATCTGACGGAATTCAGTGGCTTTGTAAGTATGGAATTCATTTAAATTTTGGGGATCGCGAGCAAAATCTTTACTTAACCACTCTTTAACAATATCCTGATAAATAATCACCTTTTCAGTACATTTTTCACAGGCAAAATATCCAAAATGTCCTTTTATTTGTTTAATAAATGCCCTAGCTGGGACATCAGCTATAATACCTATAATTTTTATATTTAAAGAAATGCCATCTAGCTATAGTTAAACCATGTGCAAGCAAATGATTGAGTTCTTCAACAAAAGGTTGCAAATACTCTTCCACGTTATATGGTTTTTTTTCCAAAATAAGCACCAACAATAAAAGGATTTTTTAATTTAATTAATAAAAAAAGAAAATAATATGGGCCAAAAAGATTTTCCTCTTTTGTCTACAGGGAGACCATCATTATTGAACCACAGTTCTAATACAAATAGATTCTGAACAGAGGCAACATTTTTAACACATGTGATAATCTATGGGATATTCCAAAATGAATATATGTACCACCTTCAATATTAGTTATATTAACAAGGCCCGACCTAGATAATAATAGGGGCAGATAATAATGTTCTTGAATCAATAGGAAGAGACTTAAGACATTGTAAGCTATCTGCCGATTTCATTAATTTCAATAATTTGGTTGCACTGCTTCTTGGAAGTCTTGATGTAATGAAAGAAGCTAGCTTAGTTTGGAAAACTAATGGATCAGATAAAATACTGTTTGAACTAGAACAATATTTAGTTTCAATAACAACTTGATTTTCTGAAGAAACAATACCTATAGGAACAATAGTCTGACTATTAATAAGAGGGAGAGTTATCACTTCAGTTTTTTTTTCTGTAATCTCATTTTGGTAAGATGGCACAGAAGGACATTTATATTCATCAGCGCCAGGAAGTAATAATCTCTTCACTTTACAACCCTTTGATAAATTGCAGCTTGGTTTGAATGAGTACTTAGCCATATTTATTTAGTATATGTTATACAAAATAAATATAACAATAAATAGTTTCTATTCAAAAAAATACAAARAAATAAGAATCATAATATGTAGCATATTTTTAACTATTACCAGGCACAGTGCTAAGGGTGGAGTGGAGATTTAGCCCTCCCTAAAAATTGTCAAGCCCCCTCTCGCTCACTCCTCACTGAAAAATGAAACAGAATGTCTGAACTAAAATATCTTATGATATATTATATAGGCATGTTATTACTTATTTTAATAAGAACTAAATAATTAATTTTATCAATTATTATTTTTAAATAAATATACTATCATTAGGTACTTTTAGGAGTATTTTATAGCATTATAAACTCCAATAACTTAGACTTAGAGATTATTGTTGTAGATAAATGTGCAGCTATTCACAAAAACAGAAAAATATTATTAACGTGAACTTATATTTTTAACGCATTGATAATTATTAAAAAGTTTATACATGTATGCATGTTATCTATTTAGAACTTAAGAAAAACTACATAAGACAGTTTTAAAAAGTTAAAAGTGTACTTATAGCTATATTATGTAAAATTAAATAAAATCAGTTAACTGAGTAATCACTGAGTACAGCTGTACTTTTTCAAAAAATCCTAGCCCATATTATACACAAAAAGTATCTGTTCCACTCCACGCCCACTGAAAAAAAATCTAGCGTTGTGCCTGTACTAAGTATGTGTAAATGTGAATACATTTTATTATTCACTATACTAGTTACCCTCCACTGTGTCGTAACCACTTTGTTAGTTGTTAGCTGATTATTTAGGGTCACCAATACATAAAATATCCTAATATCCTATACATGTAGATAACATTATTTTATTTTTCATGAAAAAATATAATTTTTAATTTTGATTCGTGTCGTTAAAAAGGTTAAGTATCAATGCTCTATATTTTTGAACTCTAAGTGTATTATAAACTAATATACTAGGTTTTTAGCCGTCTAGGTATGTAGATTTTAGCTACCCAGCTACAGATAAAATAGTAGGTACATTTTTTAAAATAAACATTACATAATTACATAATATCTTTTATTTAAATTGATATTGTCATCTGAAATTTATAACAATAAGAAACAACTTTTTGACTATTATTAAAAAAAAAAAAAAACTATTATAATTTATAAATGTTTTGTTAGGATTATCGATTGTTCTTTAAAATGTTGTATTACATTTTCCATGTTTGGTTCAATGTCTCGTTCACAACTAATTATCAATAAGTCTTCCAAACGTGTTTGTGACATAGTTGTTCGCTCTAGATTTTAAAATCTTTAACTTTTAAAACGACCTTTCTGTCGATGCACTGGACACAGGTAAAGTTAACGCGATTAAGAGACTTGTATTTAATGTGGGGAGAATGCTAGCTAACTGCCCATTCATTAAAATTTTAAACACAGATTTTATACTATTATTTAATGTATTAAGTGGAGCTAAAATATTAAATAATTTTTGAAAAAAAATAGCAGACATCACAAATCGCTTTGAAAGTAAGTAGTCCATTAAACACCCTGCCATATGTCCTACAGTACGATCATCACGCCCTTCAGTGTCTCTGATGTGTTGCAAATAAGATAATAGATTTAGTATCTATATCCGTGGATTCTAATGTTTCCACTCGACGGCCGTCGTAGACTGTAGACTGTAGACTGTATTATCATAGATAATATTCTATTAATCAATAATTAATCTATAGACTTTAATATTATGGTGTTATACTATTATATATTTATATTTATGTTTCCATCGACAGTCCATCATATTATTATTTTATTAAACAATCAAGTGTCTTGTGATTTTATACCAGGGTCTGGATACCCTCTACAATTATGAAAGGGGTGCTTCAGCACCTTTTCAGATACGTGATAGCCGCCACTGATAAGAATCTACCAATAACACACTAACACTATACCTAACTATTTATTATTTTATTGACTACCTATTTATTGACATAATATATCAATTGTATTTAATATATTTTTTATTGTAAACAATTTACGTTAAGTATTTTATACTTATTTGTTTATACCAACCGGTATTATTTTTATTTTATAAGTATATTTTATAATTTTATAGTTATATGTTTGTTTTTTATTATTAACAAATAACTTTTTTTTTTTTTTACGCTTTAATTTATAATTATTGTTTTATTAATTATTTTTACAACATTTTGTATGTAATATTGCATTGTATAGTATTTGTTTGTTTGCACTAATGTAGTAATGTTATTTAGTGATGATCATACTGTAGATATTGTAGAAACAAAAAAAAAACTATTGGAAAAAGAAAGCTTATTATTGTATATTAGATACAATGATAAATATTTTAAAAACAAGATTTTCTGAAGCCTTCGTGTAACCTCATCAGTAGATAATTTAATAAAATTGAATTTTGAAGATTCTTCATTTTTAATTGATTATTACAAGGTACATGTAAGGTACATTATTATTTTTCAAGCATGTAATAACTATTATTTAATATTTGTTCAGGATTTATTTCGAATTTGTAATCAGTTACTGATGTATGAAATGGTTTTAAAAATCATTTTGGGTGAAAATTCTAGTCTAGAAGAAATAAAACAGTACTTGACATTATATGATGGTAAAGTATTTCCAAATTTTTGTAACATGTTTCAAGTAGCTGTTACTCTTCCTGTAAGTACTGTGACCTGTGAGAGATCATTTTCTACTATGTGATGTATAAAAACATGGTTGCGCACTTGTATGAATCAAGATAGATTCAGCAATTTAAGTATTATGAATATAGGAAAAGACATTCCTATCAATAATGAAGAAATATTAAATATTTTTGAAAAAACTGAGAGACRTATACAATTACATACAATATTTATATTTATTAAAATACATTTTTTATGTTATATAATATTAAATATATATTTTTTACTATATATAACTACTTTTAGAAATGAATAAATATAGATACAATCCTTAAAAGTATGTACCTTACATATTATATTCTTTCTACAAATTTATTGATATGCGTATGTTTCTTAAATTATTTATTATTCATATAAATTCCATAATGTTTATTTTTTTAACTAATTAGTACCTATTCATTTTAAATTTTGATTTATGTGGTCTTTCTGTTATACTTTGTAAACCTGTTTAAATTATTTAAAATATTTTAGGTATAGAATGCATATTGCAATTATTATGTAGCTATATTAACTTGTCTGAGATTTTATTACGTGATTATATATGTACATATTCATATATATAGATACTTAAATCTATTTCATATAGAGAAATATGGAGTACRTAACATTGATTATAAATTATAACTTAATAAATTCAAAATTGCTCAGAATGCTTAGATTTATCGTATATCCACGAAGATTTAAAATATCTTACGTAATCTCAGTGTTTATGCGTCGATTAGATATACAGCGTGTCATATACAAGTGTATAATTAATATAATATTATAATCAATGATTCATCGATTCATGTGTATATTAATAAGAATGTACAGCACATGGCTCGATATTTAAGTACCTATTTATATTATCATATTAACTATTAAATTATATTATTTCATTTACATTACCTATATCGCGTTTTAGTGGCGATCGACTACACTATACATCTAGCAATCTAGCATTCTAGCCTCATTAATTCATTATAATGAATAGTAAGTAGGTACTTAAAATAATATCAAAAGCGATTTTCAAGTGGAATGAGAATGTTAGTACTAGATAGGCGGTGAGTAGGAGTGTAGAGTGTATGTTTGCCGGTTTAGATAACGTTCGACGCGTTAGCGTCGCGTCTGTTGTAGTTTACTAGTTTGTTCATTGTTGTCTTATCAACAGCTCGCGTTTGTTTGGTTCGAAAAAACGTTGTTATCATTGCCGAGTATTCAGACGCGCCGCCACCAATAATCGCCATYAGCCGCTTTACAAACAGATCCACACGAAAAAKAACGGAATCACTCACCGGGGAAACGGCCGAAAGAGCGTGACCGATCCGAACGTGAGAGTGTTGTTATTCGTTTCAGAAAACGACAAAATGGCAGGCGGCGTCATACTCGAAAACTTGAGTGGAAAAAAGCTGTTCGTGCTCGTATCTTCGTTACTCTTTTGCCAGCTTGCATGTTTCCTGATCGGTGGACTCGTAGGTTAGTCATCGTTCACACGGTCGAGCCTGAATTTGTGATGGAACGATGTTCAGTTATCCTTACTCAACGTTCATTTTTTATTTTGTTAACAGCTCCGCCACCATCCGCCACCGACATGGTGTTGGCCTCTAAGTGTTTGTACAATGACAGCAATCCTTGGTCGTACATTAGGGGTGAGGGAAAATGCTTCTCATATCACTCAGACATCTACGAAGAAAGCCCTGTTGCCAACACAATGGCCAATGACATTATATTCACTTTTCAGGTAATCTATTACGCGCCTAGCAAATGGTGAAGTGTCATTTCGCTCCCTATTTATTAATAATCATTTCACTAATTTCTAGATACCTACTCCGCGCGATGGTCAGACATTGGATTATTCACGATGGCAGCAGAATCTCATAGGAGTTCTCAATTTCGACATCGAGTACCATATTGGCACTATAATGGGTATGAATACAATAAAATTACTTATAAATTTAACTTATACATTTTATTTTAGTGAACTAGTAACTTATTGATATGAAATSATTGTACWCTTGTTGCTGTTCAAAAATGTACAATTTTACAATATACAAACTATTAACATATTTTCATAACAATAAATAAATCATAAGTAAAAAAATAAATAATTTGATTGGTAATAAATAACAGCAAAATATTTATCAAACAATTATGTCCTAAAAAATTCAATTTTGTAATATAATATAAGTTTTATATTGTTTAAAATAAATAATATAAATTAAAATTAGAAAATATAATTAATTCATTTTTATTAGAAATATGTCATCAGCAAAATAAGTAATCTGTTTCTGTAAACAATGTCTGATTTTAGTGGCAGAGGTAGGTAAATGTACATTGTGTACTGTGACCAAATTAAGTAGGAGAAAGAAATTAAATATGATTTAATTGAGAAGTAGTATTTAATTTCCATAAACAATAAAAATTGAAAATATTATTTTAAGAATAAACTTCCCTTATATTGTTTTTATGTGAAACATTATTGTGACTTAAAACATTAAATTTGATTAAACGCATTTTTTATAATATTACACAAAATAACTAATTTATTACTATATTTTTATTTGCCTCCACAAAAACAATTTTTAATACGCCTACTAAAGTGTCAAAGTTGCCCAGAACCTGCGCAATCAGATTTATAATTATTTTCTTACACAAAGTCTTACATATGCAACGATCATTTTCCACCCAAATTCTGTAATTCCCTGTAATGTTAAAATTATATAATACTGCCTAACACCAAAATATCTCTTATTTTTTTTTTAAATAACTATTTACATTCTACTATTTAACTATCTACTATTCAATTTACATTTAATATTTATTTTTTAATTTTATGAAGATTAATTGCTTGGGCATTTTTAAAAATATTGGAGTATTCAAATTATTACCTTCAAACTAAYCAAAACTCAATTGTTCATAATATATATATATATATATATATAATGACAATTATTATTGTTAAATTAGTATTTTTAATAAACTGAATTTGATATTATTATTATTATAAATTATAAATGTATAAAATAAAATATAAGGTAAATTAATATGTAGTATTCATCGTTTTTGATCTTGTAAATATAAAATCTACAAATCTTGTAATGTAATATACATTACTTTTTTTATCAATTGTTACTTTTAGACTTGAATTACTGTTTAAAATCAATTTCACCTGAAATATAATAATAAAGAAAAAATTTAAAATAAATTGTTACTTAAAATATTCACTATTTAGTCTACATTTTATATGAATATTTAAATAACATAAACAAATTCTATTTAAGATGAAACTGATTGTAAGGGTTACAAACTATAATTTAACTCTTTTGAGATGAAAGGCTTGTCTGATAAGTTTGTATTATTATAGTTAAATAGACAATAATGTTATTTGTCTACAATAATGTTGGAGACGAGCAACTAGTTCCAAAGTTATTTTTGTTTTAATAATATAGATGTTCAGTCTCTCTTCATTTTTGTAAACATGGGCAATCATTATCGACCTGCTGTTTATATAAATYATATAGGTTTGAAACCATGTTCCAAGATAATAATTATATTTATRTCATTATTATGTGCTTTATCAATTAAAATAATTAAGGTCTTTAAATTTTTTTTCATTTTCTATTGATATTTAACTCTTGTAAAAACAACTTTCGGATTCCCTATTATGTTCGTCATCCGTTATAATTTTATAGACGAAGACTGTTTGGTGATTCGTTTGTCTCGTAAATTAATATTGCAAGATTATCGTTTGATTATTAGATTATATTCTAACTTGTTTTTAACMAGTTCATCGTTTGCTATATAACAATCTATGTCTATTTTAAATATTTTGTTAATGAATACGGACGATTAGTGCTTACGTCATACTTGTTATCATTCTTATCAATGGATCAGTTGGATCCAAACAAATATTATAACGTATTAATGTACTATGTTAAATTAAGTTAATAAGTTTTAATGTCGCTTAAAATTAATATTTTAATTATATTCACGCGGTTTTAAGCTAATAATATATAATTTATACATAATTTTAGAAATTTAAAAGGTGCGTGTGCGCTATGAACCGAGTTTAATACTGCTTGCGAGCCTATTTTTGCTATGCTTGTCAACTATAGATTGCTTACCTTTTAATTTTGCATTCTAAAATTGTATATAAAATTATACAGTTAATAGTATTTTTGTATTATATACAGATATTATTTAAATATGGTTTTATGCTGGATATTTGGTTGTTCTCATTACACGGAAAATAGTTCCTGTAKCTTTTATCGCTTTCCAAAAGAACTAAAATCAAGAAGACATTGGATCAAATTAATAAGGTAGCTTTCTCACATAGGTCCCTACATGGTACATCATCAATAAATTAATTTTGTTTGGTAATAGATGTATTGATAATAATGATACTGAAACAAATTTAATTTTTTATTTAGTTGACAATTTTCAGTGAACACTGGAAAATTATAACTAAAATGTTATATAAAAATTCTTGAATTAATTTTGTTAATGAAAGTATGCCCTTCCAATTCACACCATATTATGTTGTATCCAACATTGCTTAATATAAACATATTTTTATTATATAGGCACATATTTTATAACTAATACTACATACTATAATAACTAACCCTACCTAACGTTTGGATTCTGCTTATAAGCCTTAGCTATGTTAAAAATGTTATATATATTGATTTAACATAAAAAAAAAAAATAAAAAAATATGTTCTATAGCCTTTAGGTATTAAATAAAATAAGATAGTTAGGATTGCTTAAAATTTTGTGATTTATTTTTATTTTACTACATAACTTTTTGGTTCAAAGATAAGTAAATCATATTTATTTTATTAGAAGAACAGATAAACCTAAATCAGGTGCTCGTGTGTGTAGCTGTCTCTTTCAAGATGGAAATAATGTGAAATCGTTTAAAATGAAAGTATAAAACAAATTAAAAGTTAAAGTTTAAACGTTTTAAGCATTTAAACCACAATTTTATTCAAATTCTTTTCAAGTGTATGCTTCTCAGATAGTATGAATTATTTGTTTGGATCCAATGGATAGTTTGATAAGGATTGATAACAATTTGTGACGTAACACTAATCGTCCGTATGACTCTATTAGTCTCAAAAGATATATTTTTATTATATTGATTTGTAATTGATTACATAGACGAAGAAAAACAAATGTTTGTTATTCCTTAAGTGTAATCAATGAATCCTATCTGCACTTTTTATACAATTAATATAGTTTTAATMAAAATAGTAGTGTAATTGATGACTTATATTTTATTGAATTTTTTTTTCAAAATTTAACTAACATTTTAATATTAATGTTCTATATTAATAATGGAATTAGTTAAATATATAAGTAATGATATGCTGTTCATTGCATATTAGATAGTAATTTAATATTTGAGCATTTTTTTACTGATAAGTTATTTAATCTTACTAATTATAAAAACATAAAGAGGTACTTGTATTTTTTATTAATAGATGGAAAACCCCAATTTTTTTWATACACTATAGGTAAAAGGTAACTATAGAGTTTTTTTTCTTTCTAGATCGTAATTTGGAGTTAACGTTAGATACCAAACTTGGCTATCGTAATGTGGGTGACAAGGATGGCGATTGGAAATTATTTGCCAAATCTGTTGAGAAGCGTAATCTTGATTGTGTTTCAGAAGAGGTAAATAATTCTTGCTTGTTTACTTCTTTGTTATACTCAAAAATTGTATTTTGTTTTAGAAAATAGATGGTAATAATTATCAATGTGGATTAGTGCCGCTTTTTGAACTTGGATCATTACATCACGATTACTATTTAATCAATATTAAAATACCTGTGGATGAAGCAAATGGAATTAACTTTGGTTTAGGTCATCTAAAGGATGTCTGGCTTGTGGTAAGAAGTTTAAATGTTCATTCATATATAATTTAAATATAATTTATATATATTGTTAGGTAAACCGTAATAGCACGTATCTACATTTTCATTTTTTTTTCAGGAGAGCATTTAAACTATTTAAATTGTACATTACTCATTTCATTAATTTGTATCTTAGTTACATTATAAGAAAACTATAAATTTTGATTTATTTTTGAAAAATAGGTTTTAGTAAATTTTAATCTAGATATGTGAAATTCACAGCCATTTTTTTGTTGGCTCCGAGTTATTGCATTGTAGGATTATATTGAATTATTGACCAAGAAAATTGTTTAATTTAATAGTATGATATCAAAAACATGTTTTGTCTTTATTATAACATTTCAACAAATTATAAAAATAAAGAAAACTTATTATAAACTGGTTCTTTCAGTCTTWAACTTTTAAATACAAAATAATAACATATTAATATTGATATAAGGATATAACAAAATAGTAAAATCATAAGCATTTTTGAAAACTAATATAAACTGTTTCTTTCAGTCTTTAACATTTGAGTATTATTATATGAAAATAACAAAATTAATAGTAAAATCATAAACATTTTTTTATCAAAGACTAAATTTAAAAATTAAAGAACAATGTATACTTTAACTAAACAAATAATGACTGTTTCTGTCAGTCTTTTAAATAAAATAAACTATTTTTTTCAGTCTTTTATGTAATAATTATCACATTTTACTATTTCTAGTTTTAAAAGTTTTTTTTATGAAGAAGATTTTTATAGAATGAGTGTACATCAACAGGCATCACAGTCTTAAGTTTTTGTAGATCTTCTCATTTCAAAAGCGTTAAATCAATAGGTTTAAATACAATGGCTTATATGAGTTTATATTTACTTCTGGGTGAAGTGATTTAACCCTTTGAGATAAAGCAGAATGCATGTCATCAAATAATAACTTGAATTCAATAACTAAAGAATTAGGATTATATTTAAATGCACGTGCAATCTTTAACCTCAGGGTCACCTTTAGAGTTCCCAGGGCGTATTGATCTGTAAATCTGGTGATCTTTAAAATCTAAAAAAATATTTGTATGTTAATAATTCTACATCCAATGGTTTGGGATTCTTGCGAGATTTTTTGATTATTTTAACAAAATCGTAGGGTAACAAAATATCTTCTCCTTTAGACTGTCTCTCAATTAGGCTGTGGACAGAATCACACTCCATTTGGGTGTGGCCTATGACCAGAAACTTCTGTTCTATTTGCACATTATGGACCTTAGAAAAATGCAAGAGACGATTACTGAAAACTGCATTGCGGTTTTGATAGCCACAGCCATTCGAATAAATAACAATTGGTAATTTATTTATGCACACTTTGATTAAATGTTTAATCAAAATGGTAACAAAAACAGAGGCTTCCAACTCACCTTCACTTTCATTCCAATCATACTTTGCACAATCGCCATTATCCATATTATATATTGTCATATTGTGAATTTTCAGTTTCATGTTGTAATAGATGCGTTATTACAGTTTACCTAATGATATAATGGAATCTTTATATTAAAGATGCTTAGGGATATGTTTGTTTGTATATATTGTAGTTATAWTGGTGCAGAATGTCAATTTATTTTGATTCACCTTGTGATTTAAAAAAAAAAAACTGAACACTAGAAAAATTTTAGTACTCAAAAACATACCTCATAGTTATAGCAAAAATTATAAATTATAAATTATTGTGTGAATCGAGTAACACTGACATGTCATATTATTTGATTATTAGATTGGCCCAATTATGTCACGTATCTTTTTTCAATTCCTCAAACTCATTGCATAATGTGAAGAAAAAGCTTAAATCTATACAATTATTGTTCAAATTGAATATTCTTTCAAWTTAAAAAAACTTATTTTTGAGTTTTGTGCTTCTTTAAAGTTAAATTATACATGCAACAATTTGTAACTATTTTTTTTTTAAATTTATTCTGTATTACTTATTTTCAATTTTCAATTTTTTTTTTCTTTTGATGTATGCCTGAACTATAGTCATTAGTTATTTATAGGGGWKKGGAGTTGRTTTTGGACTGCATAAGGTATGAGATGCAAAAATTTGTTGTTAAAAAGTCGGGGAATCATTCATCTGATAGCTTGCAACAGCGGCCGGTTAGTATACTCGAAGCATTTTGTTGTTGAGTGTACGACCGCGCCTTACAGAGTCACTGTTGTTAATTTGTTTACATTTAATTTAATATATGACGGAAAAAAAATTGATTACGTTTATAATGTTGTATGCAAGCTGCCAGAGATCCAGATATTAGAGATTTTTGAACAACATTGTTGATAAACAAATTTTAACAGTGAAAAAAATGATAGTTTATTTCTATTAATTTAAGCAAAATTATGAAGTGCACAATTAATGTTGATATGAGTAACATGAAGGTTGGTGCTCAGGTATTAATGGCTATGGTACATCTCTCTCTGTTTTCCTCTGAACTTCCTTATAAATAAAGACCGGATTTTGCATATTATGCATGTTCATATTTTTATAAGCAATTACATGCAGTAAATGGGTTTTTATTAATCATACTTAAATAAATAATGCAAATTTTTATTTTGCATATTTTGGGTACAAGTGCATGTTTTATATAAAAACACATGTTTTTGCATAGTACATACTACRTATACACTAGCTATAAATTTAATTTTATTTAATTTTATAATTGTATGTACAATTATTAATTAATCATAAATTGAAAATATAATATTTTGTTAGGTAGGTACTCACTATTCATTGCATACTGGTTTTCCTATTGTATATTTTTATCTTATTGATTTTGTCCAACATTATCAACTTATTGTCAATACTACAGAACACGAACTGATAACCTGACGACTGTAGTTCGAAGCGTACATTCGGCAATAGTCAACGACCAACGTATTATAAAAACGTARTTTGTTATTTTGCAATGCCAAAGTATTCAAGTTCGAAATTACCATTACTTAGAAAATGGATTGAATTGTATAACAAATCAGGTGAAGTTTTCAAAACCTTAAATAATAATTCAGTTTTTTGTCAATATTGTAATAAAGTCGTTATAATAATTTATATTTTGATTTTATAACTTAACAATAAATAAATAGCTGTATAATTAAAAATTAATTTGCATTTTTTTCTGGCATATTTTGACTTTTTTAGTGCATGTTTGCGTGTATATTTTACAATTTAAAATGCATATGAATCCGGTCTCTACTTATAAATTATGTTGAATCCTTTGATTTAGATAGGTCGTGTGTGATGTAGATTTCCTTATGAATACTAATATAYAAATGATATTAAGCTAATTTATGACCTAGTCAGCAGTTATTTGTGTGATTAAAATTTATGAATTGTATGAGGTTAAAACTGTTTGTAATTTGTAATATTTTCTATTATTTGTTGCAATCACTTGAATGAATTCATAGAGTTCATTGCCTGCCATAATATTGTTGATAATGTTTTCAATGTGATTATAGAATCTTAGTTATTWGGGTTAATATCTGTTTAACTTGCATTTTAATTTATTGTATAATTATTTAATATTGTTCATAGGTTATTAATCAAAATGGCGGATTTACAAGTGTTTGGCTCTACATGAAGACAATATTTTTTCCGTTTATTGTTGCAATAATGATATGGTTTTGGAACAGAGTTCATATGTTAGCCCGTAAACCAGTTTTGCTTGAACGCATGTTGATGACTATTGGTTTTGCACTAACTCTTTTAAATCGTAAGCAATGAACAAAATACCTTAATAGTTAACAGTAAATCAAWTTTTTTAAATCCTTATTCATTTTTTAGTTTATAATTGTTAATTTCAATAACTAAAATATAAAATTGCTAAAATACATTAAGTTTAATAGTCATATGCCTAGTGCCCTGCATAAACTTTTTTGTTGTCTTCACATAGAAACTAGTTAAGTAAAATTAAAAATATTTTTAGTCTTAAAATGCACATAACTTGCTTAAAAATAAAAATTCATAATCAGAGGCACTGGATAATATTCTTTTATTATATTATATCACTTATTAATGTCAATTCAATAAAAATCAATTCTTTGGAATTTTTAATTTGTTATTGTTATACATTAGTAAGTTGGAGTACATACTATTAATGTTAATTTGTTCTAGTTCCTGTTGAATTTTTGACACTTAGTTATGATATGCCATTTATGTTGCTTTTGCAAGATATAAGACAAGGTATATTTTATGCCGCTTTACTTTCATTTTGGTTAATTTTTGCTGGTGAACATTTAATGGTAAGTGATTTAATTGCAGTAAATAAACTACTATTTGGTATTTTTATATTACTTTAATAATGTATACAAAACTAATTTCATTTTTTTTTTTTTATGTTCTCCATACTTCTTCAAAATTGGTCATGCTCATATAGATCCAGGTAACTGTGTCATATTAATTATTTTTCTATCAATTATACGTGTCTATTTGATTAAGAATATCCATTTGCAACCATTTTTATTCACAATTATCCAATAACCTTAATTTAGAGTAAAATAAATGTCATTATTTATTATTTTCAATAAATATTGTTTATTTGTTTATATGATGTATTAATATTTTTAGAATATTAGCTATTGAAAATTAGTTGAACTGATGTATATTTTTTAAATTCATAGGATTCTCAACAAAAAAATCTGCAGACATATTGGAAGCATTTGAGTGCAGTTGCTGTTGGTTGTATTTCACTGTTTGTATTTGACATGTGTGAAAGAGGAGCACAATTAAAAAATCCTTTTTACTCCATATGGGCAACCAATACCGGCACAAATTTAGCTGTATCCTTTTTATAAACATATTATATTTTTTAGTTTTGATTTGTTTAAAATATATTTTTCTTTAACCTAGACTAATTCAGTTAACTTTTATAATATTAGCAGCAATATCTGGTGGAATGTACTTTTTATTCTTGTCATACATGATATGGAAAGTTTTCTGTAATATAAGTGCTCGGAGATCAGCATTGCCATCCATGTCAAACGCCCGGAGGTTACATTATGAAGGCAGTATTTATAGATTTAAATTTTTGATGATAGCTACACTATTGTGTGCTGCCTTAACTGTAATTGGATTCATATTGGGACAGGTAAAATAATCATTATTTCTTTTTGAATTTTAAATGTCAATATTTTACATGTTCTTGTAGGCTTCAGAAGGACATTGGAAATGGAATGAAACTAATAATCTAAACTATGCATCAGCTTTTTTGGTCGGAGTTTACGGAATGTGGAATATTTATATATTTGCACTCATTGTCCTTTACTCTCCTTCTCATAAACACTGGCCATCAGAAATTGGTAATGTTATTGATAATTATGTGATGGTTGAGTTAATTCAATTTTATTTTATCGCTATTAAAGTGTAGATCACAAAACAAGTATAATATATATATTAAATGTTTTATTTATYGTGCAATATGATTAATATATTATATTGGGAAGATAGATTAACAAAACACAATTTTGTGGAAACATTTTGTACTTGATTTGGGATGTATAAATATAGTTTTAAATAAATAAATAAATAGTTTTGTTTTATTATTTTTATTTTATGCAATTAATTAATTTTGGTATTGAAACATATAGTGAAACGAGTTTCCAGCTGATAAGTATAATTTMTACCAATATCATAAAATACATTCAAATATCAAATACACTTCACTTAAAACAAAACATCTACTAAATGTTGAGGAAATACACACAAGTTGATAATAATATTCCCACTTACCGTAGGAAGGAAACTGCTTAACTGATATACCATAATGCTATGAGTGATAATCTGTCTTCCCAATAATGGATGATATTTTGTTGAATGGAAAATAGAACCATTTAATTAAAAATATTAACTATAGTATTTTGATTTAAATATAAATTTTTCTGTGCAAAATATTTAAGGCCAATACATTTTTTGTTTCTTAAATTATTGGTTGCTATACTTTATTTTTCTGTATGACTATTTAATTATATTTATGGTGCTACCCAAACCCAACCATTTGTTATGACTTTTGATAGTCATATTTTCATGTATTAGATATTAGATCAATTAAAGAAAGAAAAAAACCAGTCCCTCCTGAAGTACAATTTAAATTTTTTTTAAATAGTGTAAGTTTATATCTTGTCTATATAAATTAAGATATAAAACCTAGTTTCATAAGTTTTTAAATGCACTTTTTTATCATTATTAAATTATCAAAATGAAACATAGAACATGTTAGTTTATTGTACCAGCTAATTATATGTATTTATAATTTGTTTTTTGAGATTTTATTATTTTTATTAGATATTTTAATTATAACACATATTCTAATACCTACAAAGATATTCAAATTTTTAGCGGTGTAATAATTGATTATCAATAGACAATTATTACCTGTTCTTGTTTAATTGAAATTTAATGTACACATTTAATTAATATATTCTTTTGGTAGTTATTAAATAAACCAAACTATTAACAAATAGTGTAAAAATATGTAAGACTGCAATTATAATTATATTATATTTTTGTATTTAGTATTGTTTATGCACAAATTTAGAAATATGTCAACATAGGGTTACATTTTAAAGGTATATAGTACATTAATAGAAGGCTGCTTATATATAATAACAAATCAGTTTTAAATTATGATTACTTTTAAATTTTTGCATTTCAAACTTTTATTTTTATTTTAGATGTGAACAACAGTTCGAGTGACACWATTGAATTTAGCCGTCTTCCTACTGAACCAACAGAAATGTCGTCTCTGGCTTCATTCTCTAGGAAATCTGCTTTTGACTGAACATCCAAATGCCATGACATCTTCCTATACCATAATTTTAAGTTTTTCATGACATTTTTTACTTTTATCTTCATTTATTATTTTTAGGTTTGCGATAGACAAACACTGTWCAATTACTATTAATTTAAACATAATATCTTATATTCAACAGTATTATTTAGTATTTTTTTTATCAGTACTTTTTTAAGTATTTTTTTTTAGTAATAACACCCTTTTATAACTTAACTTTTATTTTTTTAATTAAGTACTRCATATTTACTAGTATCAATATTTAAACATTTTATTTGCATTGCATTTTTGTATTATGTATGTTGTTTAAATATACTGCATAGATTAATATTAATTTAAATTTACATACTTTTTTGATGTACATTAAAGTATTGGTAAATTTGTATGTGGATCTATTAGCATCTTCTTTTTATTTTCAAGTTTTTAATTTATAAAATAATGAGTTATTATAATTTTTTTAACTGGCGATTGTACTCTAACCTATCTTATCCAATTGGCCATTTCAATGCATAACTTTTTTTATAAATTRCCAACATATAAATTATTATTTATTAAGAAAAAAACACCTATCTACTCTTTATTAAATTGAAATACTTATTGTAAATATAAATGATAGAATTAAGTTATATATTGTTGTATGCCAGTACTAACAATTGTTAAATGGATTAACTTAAGTTAAAATAATCATTGCATTCTATTAAAGATTTAAATAAAAGATGATAATCTTTCAAATTGTTGACTTATTATTGTTATTACTTATTAATCATGAGCCCATTGCAATTTGAGTAATTTATTTTTTACATTATATTTATATTTGCTATATTCGCCAAAAATTCCTAACTAAAATAGACGTATTCACGTTTCTATAAAAAATTATTTTGTCAATCAAAATATACAACAATTATAATACACATAAGTAATCAGTGGCGTAAATTAGTGTTAAATTATATTAAATTTGGGCCTTAAATAAAGATTGCAACCAATTTGTAGGGTGAACAGGCTTAGAAGGGGGGGGGGACCAAGGCGCATTCCCTAAAAATAGTTTTATTATTTACTGAATTTTATATTATAAGTTATGCTGTTCATTATCAAGTTAAAATGAGATTCATAGTTAAATGTAACAATTTTTTCCAGAAATAATCTTCTAAGTTAAATTTTTCCATTCTATCTAAACGTATTAGTTTTTTWAAATTACATTGTACTGTTTAGTTGATTTTTTTATAATATAAAACAATGTATTTAAAATCTATATATCTATAATCATATGGGTTTGTGAGAGGGTAGAGTAAACAAATATTTTGCTGACATGCTTTAAATTATAATTATTTATAAATTATAAATTATAATTTTATATCTTAAATGTGTTCTTTAAATAGACACTCGATTGTACTATCAAAGTGTTTCGCATTATTCCTGGACTATTGGTCTTAATCAAAATAACATAAAGAAACACAAATTTGTTTTWAAAAACATATGAAATTTTATTCCACATGTCTTACAAAACTTGTGAAATAGTATTCGGCTGCCTCCTGTTCTTTAAAACTCGGGTAAAGTGGTTACCTTAATAAATACTACATTTTAATATAATATTAGTAAAAAATGAAAAACAATATTGCAAAATAATAATGCCAAATGCCAATCCATCAAAAAAAAAAAATTAACCATTTGTTTTCGAGAAGTAAATTAGACAATAATTATTATAAATACTGATTTTGTAATGATACTACAATATCTAAACATTTTTTTTTGTACAATCAACTTTTGGAGACATTGATTATCACGTCATATTTMTTCCTGTATTATTTTCGGTTACACAATGCACTAGTATAATATTATACCTATATATTAATATTTAATGTTAGCCGTAAAAATTTTCTATTTTTTTAGTTGAATTTACTTTTGCTACCCATATTTTGGAATTTGTTATCAAAAAGTTATAAGTTAAATTTGATTTAGCTTTGAATTTTGCATATACTAATATCGCGGTGTTATATATTTCAAATTTTCAAACAAATAACAAATACAATTTTTAGCACGTTCTTTTATTCAATATAAATTAATATTAATAAAACTTATTCTTAACTTAAAAGCTTATTCATCAAAAGCTTACTAGTATTGCCCGTTAGTATTTAATTTGTGATGTTTTTTTTATTTAGAAACCACAAAGATGGGYAAATTAGTAAAAATAATTGAGAAAACACAAGATCAATTCAAGTTAGAATTTAACAGTTAACTTTTTAACTTGTTAATACCCACCTTTGATGAACACATGGGTCCGACAAAAACAATATGTAAAATCTGTAGCTATATGCTAATRAGAATACTTCACAGATATAATATATTTGTGGAAAAACTGGTTTTGACAGATTTTGGGATTTAACCTTACTTACTACTTAAAACTCATTATAAAAATAACAATATGTATTTAATAAATTTGATAAATAT